TCCACTCGCTGCTGCAGTTCCACTCATAGTAGCTGCTGCTCTCATCTGTGACTTCAAACTATTCAAACGTCCACAGATAAATAATGTGCACAAGACGAAACTCAGTCACATCACAGACACGYCTACCTACAACACAGGAGAGTCTGAGAGTAAAGAYGGAATCTGTAAGAACAAGAAGARGTCAAACTGATAAATACACCAACTTCCTTCCTCTTTATATTTACATGCATGCTGAGTCAAATAGTGTTAAACTGTTGTTTGAACGAGTGTGAGGAACAACTTTAGTGTCTTCTGTTCATATCAAACCTGTATCGTCCACATCACGAGAACAATTCAAGTGTCTTAAAAAGATGCAGTCCACTGTGTTTCAGAAACATGAAATAAAAGCACATTAAGAGAGAGAGAGAGGAATCAAAGACACATTTAAGAGGAATTAGAAAATAAATGACAACTACTTCCACTGACATGGAAGATGCAGGGTTTATGACCAATGCTGCAGCCAGCCACCAGGGGGTGACAGATATGATTTGGCTTCACTTTGGGGGAGCAGTCATGTTTTCCATCTTCATAAACAGTCTGTGTATCAAACGTGAAGTTGAGGGAAGATTAGACGTTCATTTGAGTTACAACTTCCTGTTTCATGGTGAAACATCAAAGTTTGACACGTCACCATGGAAACATGAAGTGTTCTGTGTTCCTTGATGAGCRGGTGTCACTTCTGCAACAATCTCCTGTTACATCTTCAAAATGTTCTGACCGGAGCTTTAATCGTCCAGAAACATGAGGAGCTTTAAAATTGTTGACCTAGTTTTTAYGTCAGGTACTTCATGTTTCTCAGCTGAATACCTCAACAGTCCTTTAAATATATTACAATACTTCATAAGATTACAGTTAACAGCTATGACATTTAAATTCAAGCTCTACTGCTTTTATTAGTGGTCAGATTTCTCATGTGAGTCATACTTGTTTTATCTGATACACGTGTAAAACTGTTCACCCGCGTAGACTGGACTTCACAAGCTCATGAACAGGTGCACATGAGCAGTAGAGCGACACAGGAACCATCGACTCCTGGTTCTATAGCGTGTTGGGGTTAGATGGGCGGAGCCTCCCACTTTGCTCTGACTGTGCGTTAACCTGGAGTCGGAATAATCGGAAGAATTATTTCCCGACTGGAAAATTCACATTAACTCCATCTCAGCTCTGGAACTGATTCTCCTGATTAGTCTGATATCCCATTAAAGTAGTTATGTAGATATGAAGTTCATTTATTTACTTGCCTTTTTCAAGTTGGATCAACTTTGTGGTCTGAGCGTATTGTGAAAACTAAAAGTCAAACAAATGGAAATAAATCTGTCATGTTTCATATTTTCCCCCAAAGTGTTTAAAGAGACAAACTGTACCTGACAGGTGAGGGCCGTGTGCACACTACCTCTACGCTCTGTGTAGAACAGARTGTATAATAATCTTGAAGGTAAACRATCAGTATCACAYGAAGGTTCAGTGCTTCAGTTGGAGCATGTCAAACATCACACTTCTTTCATCTATCATCTGTGATTATCTGATAGTGTCAGAAGAAAGAAGACGGACAAACGGCAGAATCACTCATGTTTGGACACAGAGAAAAGACAGATGGGGTGAGTATGTCTGATACCAGAGCTGAGTTAGTAACAAGAACGTGGCCATGATAAAAAAAGAGCCTTGTTTTTTGTAGTTGGTGGAGATGTACAAAACAAAAGTGTATTTGATCTGATCCTCCACGGCGTCCTTCGGCTTTACATGCAAGTTTTGCAGCCTGTACATCCTGAATCACAACAGTCCATCTCAAAAACCTCTGAGCAAACAAAGTGAACAGACAAGATTTAAAACATGCATGTGCAGTGCGGTTGAGACTAAGTTAAGAATAACAGAGCTGGTGTGAGAGTGTCAAACATGACAAATTGCTAGAGAAGAAAAATGACAAACATCAGTGTGTATTTATTTATTGTTTTGTGCAAATACTTAAAAAAGGAAATGACTTCATTTGGCAGCAAAGCAGCAGTGGTGTTCAGGAGACGACAGTTTGTCTTTGGCCGTTTCCAACAGGGTTCAACCAGAGACATTCATCCCAGTGAATCCTGAGGGGACATGTGCGACGCAGCAGGAACCAGGAGTTCATCAGGGGTTTTTTTGGTGACATTTCAGATAAATCTAAATATTTTCGACCTTCTTATGTTAGAACTGTTTATGAGGTTGGGTTCTGGACCCTGTGCAGAACCCGTCTCTCTTTTTCTTTTCCTCACACATTCAGCCGTCAGTATCGTCGGGCAGACCGTTCTCTCGTTCTATTTTATGTTCCTGTTCTCCTTCTTGTATGTAAATCATTCTGTAATGTGTCTCGGTGCAGGGGAAGGAAGGGGAAATGGTTAGGGTTGCCAGGGTTTCTTGCTTTGCCCTTGCTGGTCTGGTATGTGTCTGAAGCGTTGCTTGTCGCCATAAAAACAACCTGTTGTCCGCCAATAGAAGCACTCGTGTCCATTTACAGGCGCCGTCGGTCTGGACCTGCACGGTCAGAACCAGAGGAGGTTATTGGTGTATTTGAACACATTTGTATGATTTGAGTTTCATAATAAATTCACTCTTGTGACTTCTGCATCATGAGTGAGTTCCTCAGTACCCTGTGGAAGCTGAGCTCTGTGTTCCTGCAGCACTGAAGCTGGTGTTGGTCCTTTGTGTGGAGGGCAGAGTCCGCTGGATCCAACGGTCCGGGTACCTCATCACCAGCTTGGTGCTCCCTAGCTCCACCCCCTGGCCAGGAGGACACATGGACATTATATAATGTCTATAGAGGCACAAGAACAGGACGATGGCCGGGACCGTGACATTCAAACTCTTCATTTCAGAACAGCTCAGACCCTAGAAATGTTTAACTCAATGTTAAAGGCCCAATTTTTCTCACTGACTTTAATTTAAAGTCGAGTTTGAGACCTGGATTTTATCTGTTAGTGTTCCAATATTTTCATTCTCAAACATCTATGATGTCATATTGTATTTTCTTATTATTCCCTGTTCTATATATATAATTTATATTCTTTTATATATGTATTATATGTACTTTCAGCACTTTGGTGGTTGTTTTTTCTACATGAATAAACTTTGCTCTCCTGAAGCGAGCCTGTCCGTCACTCACCTGCAGCTTCTCTAGGGCCCTGGCAGCCATGTTGGTGTTCTTGAAGTTGACGAAGGCACAGAAGCGTTCGTGAAGAACTCTGATGCTCTCTATCTCACCAAAACTGTAAACATGGAAACACAGAGTATCTACCCTCCAGCAGAGAAGTGTGGTATACCAAAAACATTGACCAGTTCTTATAATACTGCGAGCAGAGATAAACCTGCTACTTTTGCTACTACTACAAGTACTTTAACTATAACAACACAGCAGTACTACCTCAGAACTACCTACAAAAGAACTGCTGTTGTAACTACTAAAATTCTACTGCTGCTGCAGCAACTACTACTATCTACTGTCTTTACTGAATACACTTTTATAACTTTAGTTTTAATGTCATGCTCATGATGGTACCACCATTTCTCATTATCCTGCAAAACCATCTTCTTTCTAGATTTTATCAGTATGTTTTACCTACCTGTGATGCCTCGTCTTAAAAATGCAGATGTCTTTAAAATGCTGCTCTAATGGAACCTGCTCTGATGTGTTTACTACATCATTATATATAAGTGCCGGTGCTCACTTCAGTGCACGAGGGAGACACATTGACTGTTAACAAAGATGTCGACATCTCCACTTCCTCCCACTATCCAGAAATGAAGCTCAAACATCCCAGACACGAACGCTGCCATCTTGACATCATTTGGAGTCACAGTCTGCAGTTTAGTGATCAGGGGCTGGAACCAGAGTATCTATGACCTATACTCCCGCCAGGCACCAGGGGGCAATTTGGCTCCACTTTCTTTAGTTACAGTTGTAACAATCAGCCGGCTTTTTGTTTAGACAATGACTTACACTATATGGACAAAGGTATTGGGACACACCTCCTAATCATCGAATTCACTCGTCCTTTTGCCAATGGTTAGTTCCAGTGAAGGAAAATCTTAATACTTCATCGAGATGTTTTGGACAATTCTATGGAACAGTTTGAGGAAGGCCCTTTTCTCTCCCTGCATGACTCTGCCCCCTGCACAAAGTAAGGTCCGTAAAGACCTCAACCCCACTGGACACCTTTTGGAAGAACTAGGCCCTCTCGTCCAACATCAGTGTCTTACCTTACAAATGATCTTCTGGATGAACGGGCAAACACACTAATGGCTATAGATTTAAAATGGGAGTCGTCCCAATACCTTTGTCCATATAGTGTAACTGTAACAATAACGATAATAGTTACTGATTGCATAACCTTAATCCAAACCGAGCCTTTAAACATGTCGTCACCTTACATTATGTTATGGGAGGGTACTTTATGTCCCCACAACATAAGTAATGACTGGATCACAAACATGCACACATATTGATTTTACATTTTGAAGAGATCCCAGAGGTCTTTCTCTGTAACTTCTAATGTAATGTTCCCAACCCACAGAGAGCGACAGCTTCTGGAAAACAGAGGAGGAAAAGAAAGGAAGAAAGAAGGCGGTAGAAATGGGGAGGGGGGAAACAAGGGAAGGCAATGAACGGGAGGAGAAAGTCATGGATCACAGGAGATGAAAATAAACAGAAAGAGACATCATCATTTTTACTACCCAAAGAGACTGTGTATATTCTACATTGTACAAGATTATTTTAAATAAAATACAAACGATTACAACGTAACAACATTTAATATCTTCGCCACACTAGCAACATATTCTGTTTTTAGTTTTTTTTAATTTCTAAATAACGATGGTGTGATTATGAGTAATGTTCATAAACATAAAACCTACCCACTCTGGTCCTGCAGAGATGTTTGCTTCAGTGCTGGAAGAATAAACAGAAAATAGAGGATGTCAGATATCGTCGAGATGTATTTAAAAAGGTTCCTTCCTGTGGTCTGCTGCAATTTATACATTTTTTTGAGGCTGGAACAGTATGAAGCATAGACTGTAGACTGGGCAGAAGCAACCATCTTTTAGAAAATCTATCTGACGGAAATGGAGGCAGGTTTTAAGACCTATACAGGAGCCAGCCACCAGGGGGCTCTCGAAATGCTGTGGCTTCACTTTCGGGAGCACTCATGTTGACCACTTTAACATCATATTAATAAACTTAATTTGCAACAGCTGGTTCCTGGATAAGCCCCCCCATTAGGAAACGAAGAGCAGTAATGCCTCTCTGGACAGGCTCTTACCTTTGGCCTCAGGGGAGTTGAGGATGCCCTGAACCGTGTTGAACTTCTGCAGCAGCAGTTTACTCTGCTCTTCCTCGAAACCCATATCCTGCGGAACAGAAAAGAGTCTAATTTTGAAACTGAAAAAGACAAAAATTTCATCATGCATCTATCTT